GAAATCAGGCACAAGCGGATCCCGAGACATAAAAAGGAGAAAAAAAGTGAAAAAATGTCACATGATTGCTGCGTGGAAGCAAAAATACGACAAGATTGCGGGACGAAAACTGCCTCCTCTTTTCCCACCGCCCTCCGCATACACCCATTATGCAATCCTCCCATACTTACCACGGAAAATCCCCTGAGCATTTACACTAATTAAAAAAAATGGTCGTGTTTCCGGTATGGGGTGCAAGGGGGTGAGTGATCACCGCAAAGACCTCCCTCCAGAACCGACGTTCATTTTCACCGGGATACGCGGGCCTACCTTGGAATCGCGGCATGCTTGGCATGTGAATGCATGTGGCGTGGTTTTTCCTCGCCGTCTGATTGCCCACGGCGGTGTTTTATCCTCCCAACCTCTCTGTCTTGGGAATGGCTCCCGGGGTTCCCGCCCGTCCAGTCTACCCCTGGTCATATCCCTGGCCTCCCCAGCCGATGCTTCTTGAAAACGCAGCATTGGAACAGCAGCTGTATATAAAACGAGGTACGACGTGTTCTGCGCGTGCAGCCGACCATGACCTCCTTCTCTTAACCAGTGCTCGTCACTTCCACATGCCCGTTCGTCTCCCTGACTTGGGCAGGCCCAGTACACGCGCGGGAAAAACCCAAGCTGCCCACCGTGCAAAGAAGCGTGTATATATTGTGTGTAAAATGTGCGTAAAATGTGTGACTGAGTGCAATAAAAACCATGAAGCATTTTTGCGTAGTTTGATCTGTCCTTTCGTCCACCGGTACGTTACAGCGGTCGGACGGTGAGAGACGTGGTGATAAGTGACAACTGAATACCGGCCAAGGCCTAAACTTCCCAGTTTGAAAGCTGTAACACGATCAAAAACAAAGCAACAAATGCTTTGCCGTGGAAAGACAGCAAGTTGTGTGCCTTTTCGGACGGGACACCGGGGACAAAACGCACTTGGAAAACAGGTCAGAGGTGGTAGGTAATACGTTGAGACGGGGAGTGTTTTACACGGTATCGTCAGGAGACCCCATGCCATCCCCGTAAATCCATGCCAAAACAGGTGCAAACACCAAGTTTCACAGGTTGGGACGATGTTTCGTTCATCAAATGGAAGATGCCAGGCTTTTTAAAAGGTTTCGGGGGACTCAAGGCAAGGAACCGGAAGTGGAAGTTCCTTTTTCTTATTAAAACATACGTCCAGAGTCGCCGCCCAACAGAAGTATGCGAGGTGAATTTTGTCCGTCCTTTTGACCCTTTTTCCATCTCTTTCGACCACCAAATCGCACCGGACCTCGTAACTATGCTAAACATTACATATTTCCATGTATTTGACTTTGTGTTTCCTAATCTGTGTACTCGATGGCGTCTAATTTGGAGATTGAGAGCTCCGCAGACAGCTATCGGCTCCGCTCTAATTCATACGGCTTCTACCGTATATGCTCGCATTTGAAATATAGTCCTTGGTCGGGCGGTCAACTGTACTGTTTTTTACGCAGTTTTTTTCCTGTGTATCGTGTTGAAGTGGCCTGTTCCATGCCAAATTCTCGCCATGCCTAGAAGGCGCAGAAACTCTCGCTTGACTGCTAGCAGCAGCACGTGTCGTCGTGCTCTTCCCTCGGTTGCACTGTGTCGAGCCGTAAAGTAATTGTCGTGTTTCTTCCAAAAATCATGCGTTACTCAAAAGATAAAATGTAGGAGACATAGTTCTTCTTCGAAATGTATACGTCGGATGGAAAAAAACTGAAGTCCACCGCAAAGAACTCCTAACCGTGATTCAAACATTGTCAACTCTGGAGATTTGTCTTGTCCGTACCTCTGTATAAAATAACGTGATATCCGCAGATGATCCTGCACACCAATTTTTCACGTGAGCTCTTCTTTCCTTGTCCTTCCATTGTTTTGATATGGGGCAATACGGATCCTTTCTCTTATTATGTGGACATATTTTCATATGCCTTTCAGCTCGTCATGCCAACATCCCCCTTATTTGTCAAGAACTGCAATAAGGGTGATGTACACTTCCTCAGCTCTCAAAGCGTGATGAATGACTTGACAAATCTGCTCGCGTGAGTATGCTGCCCACTTTTCGACGGAGTGTTTGAGGGAGAAACACAAGTGAAAGGAAGAAGCGGATGGCATCTAGTATAGAGACTCAATAAAACATCAGTCGTAGGCAAATACATAATAAGACTTTCCGGGGACAATGCATGCAGGTTTGAAAAAAGACGTAAGAGGGTGATGGCTGCTGTGGTCCAGAAGGGTCTTACGAGACATAACTCTCACAGCAGATAATTTGATATTGAAGACCTCACTATATGCAGATCATCGCGCCGGCGATCCATTCATTTGGAGTGATGAAGTCAATCGTGAGATCAAATGGGAGAGAATAAGACGCATGGGGCCAAGTTCCACCTTTAGGTTTTTCCTTTTAGGTCAAAAGACTCTCCCAAGACTGCGATGTCTGCCATTCCATCTGGATGCTTTGATGAGAGATTTAATTTGCGGCCTAAAGGCATAAGGCGATATGATTGGTTTCAAAGATGCCAGGAAAACTTTAAGGGAGGTTTTTAATCATTCCACTCCCCGGCAGACAATAGATACAGCGTCCCGACAGAGAAAGCTAGCAACTTTCCCTACCATCACCAGGAGAGGCTTGGAACGGAGCGAATAATTGTGGAGGACAAACTACAAAATAAATGATTCGATTCGGTCCGAACAAAATTCACCTTAGAAGGTCGCGGGCAAGCTACGATATGTTGTGATCGAGATGGATGCGTTGTCCTTGTCACTTTTCTCGATATCGCTCTCATAGGGGGAAAAACACACACATTGGGATCTGACGAACGCGAGATGGGCCCACAAAAAAACATTTTTTGGATCAGGAAATCCTATCATCCGGAGGACTTTCAGAGGAATTCGAATTACATTACATCAGCAGTATGGTAGCGACGGTCGTGACTGTGTTCAGGGTTAAGGTCAAACCTGACGAAAAACTCCACATGGAACGAAGTCTTCTCTCTACCTTCCTCATGATTCATAAATTGATGCATCTTTACCAATGCAAAGAACTCGTCAGAGGGCGGTGTGTCGACCTGCTCAGTGCGCCCGTAGGAATTATTGCCTATCGCTCCGACGTATCGCTCAAAGCTTCTGGCGTCAAAATGACTGGGCTTTCCCCCGTTCTTTTTCAAACCTCACGCCTGCCGTGCTCTTTTTCAACTCGTCGATAGTGTCTGTCATACCCGCCTGCGGCATTGTGTATCGTGTACTTACGGCTTGAGAAATTCTCCGTCTTCAGCAGTTTCAGGGGATGTCAGCAGCAATGGTAACCAGGTAAGCTATACTGGCCTTTCCGTCGCCTACGAGTGGCCTTTTCCTGCATAATTTCTTCGATATCCCCTCCTCTGCATATCCACTATACTCGTTGCATGCAGATCAAAGGCTGCCGTGCCATCTTCTTCAGAACAGGTTCAAAAAGTGGGAAGCCTCGTAAGCACCCAGGTATGAAAAGGAAGACAAGGGTGGGTTGTGGCAGGCGGACCTCCCCGAATCCCCCTCCGTCTTCTAAGTCATTCTACCGCACCGTCCCGTACATACAGCGGATCGCGATGGAAGCGGTTGCTTTCGTGGCATTGACAGGAGCACAACTCCTTTGGTGGCATGTACGTGGGGAGAGGAGGGAGAAAGAGGGGAAGGGAGTGACATTGCGAAAGGGGTTGTTGACATCAGACTGCTTTACATTGCCCCCCTCCCTCCCCATCATTATTTTGTCCACCCTAATCATGCCACAATTGTCCTCGCGTTATACGCCATCGACCCCCCTCCTCCCTCCCTTCCTCTGCATGAACAGATTCGTGAGCGGTACAGCCTCGCCCCCGGTGGCAGTGAATGGGAGGACGGTATCCTCTTTATCTCCCTAGTGTCCAAAGTATATGTCGGCGCCCGCCTCATTGTCTGGCTGTG